GCATCTCTATCTCTCACTTTTTTTTGTCATTTTATTTTTCAATGACTCAAATAAGAAATTGAAACAAAGTTGTATTATTTATTGTTATGTTTAGGGAAAAAAAAAGATGAAAAATCCCTGAATATGTGTTTTTTTTTTAGAAAAAAATTTAAGTAATTGAAGAATAATACTTTTAGTCATACTAACCACATCAGTTGGTGATGAGAATTATTGAGACGTTGTTTTATGAGATAAACATTGAAAATACGAAAAAATCTGGTGAGGTAAATATTTAGAGATAAAAAATCAAATTATATTATAAATTTTATCTATTTAATTAAATTTTATATTTTTAAACATTGAAATAAAAACTATGAAATTTCAGGTGGCACGTGTTTCTTACTGGTATATATAAAAAAGGGTGGTTTTTGCGTTTCATTTTCCAGAAAAATAAAAGAAATTGTAACTGAAACCTATCTATTTTCTCGGACAACCCATAGGACACCTACTTGCTGTGAGGTAAGTTTGACTTTTTTTCTTTTCTTCTTTTTGAAGAAAGGTAAGTTTGACCTAGAAAGAGACGGAGGAATAAATTAATTAATAACATAAACTCTATTAACCTTTGAAAAAAAAATCACCTCTACAAAATAAATATTTCTTCAAATTTTAGAATATTACCTCTTTTTTTCTGGAAGGGAATGTTACTTTTAATTTCAATAATAATAATAGTCAGGTTGATATAAATAAATAATTTTTTATTCTTTTAATTGTTAAGTACACCATAGGATGGAGGGATTCGAACTCATAAACTTCTGGTTAGACATAGTTAAATTATATTTAGTTTGACAAATAACTTTTAAATTTTGATTGCTAATTAATGATAATTTATTATATATATATTAAAATTTATTGTATATATAGTAAAATTTGTATGACAGTGAAATAACTTTTTTTCTTATTTGTATGATTAATTTCAACCACATTCAATTTTTTCTCAATAAATTACTGAACGATATTTATCTCATTATTATAGCATGAACTTTTTTTTCTTGTCTCATTTGCTTAACATAAACGTTCATAATTGAGATGGTAAATTTGAAAAAGAAAAGTCATACCGCTATTGTGTGATGAAACAATATTTATCTAAGACGCATGTGACCAAATTACACCTCAAAATATATGGCAATTCACCATCTAGCTTCTTAACTCAATCTTGAGTCGAAGCATATTTGGAAATACCACACTGATTTAGGTTTGGGTTGAGAATCTTAAACAACATTTTCTTATTTGGAAGGTCACCAAAAACTGAGGCTAAATCTTACCATGTATATTGTATATTACTTGTATAAATACATCATCATATTTCTCTTTTATATGCCTCACAAATGGTCCCTTAATCTTAATTTTGACCTTTAATTTATTTTGGTTCTTATGAATTAAAAAAATATATATATCAGTCACCAAAGCGAGTATAGTTCAACGGTAATTGACACATGTTGAGCTATAATTTGCACATGTTGTACTATATATATATCAGTCACCAAGTTATTATTATCAATGCAATTTACAAACTTCAGTTGGTTTAGTGTTCAACCATAGTTGTTGATTAATTCAATTTTTAAAAGTATAAAATTGAAAACTTTAGTTACGAGTTCGATTTGGGTAAATTTTATTTCTATAGTTTGGTTGGATTTTGGTTAGCTCGGTAATTGCTTTTGTTGATTTGTAAAAAAAAATTATTTTGACATTGTTTTTTTTTATGTCAAATTCACCCTTTGCACCACTAATTTCATATTTTGACATGATCACATAGTATAATGTAGACTCCGTGTACATATATGTTGAGGGTGAAAATCTAGTATGTGACCATGAACGAAGTGTACGATTGAGGAGGACGCATCCTGGCATCAGCTGCACAATACAGGAGACATGCTACCGTCACGCCTCACGACAAACGGTGCCTTTCTCCTAATAGGGCGTCCTCCTTGATCATCTGAGGGTGCCTATAAAAGGGAAAGAGCCACCACGACTATGGGATAAGTGAAAAATCTGTCACTAATTTGTTAAAGTGCTCTCTACTACATTTATCGTCGATTAGGTAGGGCACTGTACCAGTGTCGAGGATCATTGTCGTAGACTCATTTGTCCGAGACAACCCACCTCGAAGGATACGTAGACCTCTTCGAAACTCGCAATCAACAATATATATATATTTTGTATGAAGATTGTAAAGAAATGAACAAATAATTAAAGTTGATTGAAATAAGAAAGATCAAGATAAGATATGTAAAAAATAAAGATGAGGTAAAATTGAAACCTAATTTAGAAAGGAAGATGGTGTTAGATGGGGAAGGGAAGTTAGGTTGCACGGAAGAGAGTGAGAGGGCGGGGGCTTTCTCATTTTATAATCACACCTTACAACCAATCCAATTTTTCCATTTATAATTTTATATTTTATGTAAATTTAATATTAGGACACGCATATGCATCATATTAAAACATGATCTTCAGTTTTCCTCTGGACCTGAATTTTCTTCTTCTTCCCATTCCCTTCTTCTTCTTCTCTCCGAAAACCCTAATTACACCTCCCTCCTTCTCGTCTACAGTACCAGAGATCAGGTATTTACTTTGCTTTTTCATCTCCTTTTTTACTCCCTTTCATTTCAATCCTTCTTTTCCTTTCCAATTCTCTCAATTTCCCTTCTCCTCAGTTCCCCCCTCCAATCGGCCTCTTACCATTGCTGATGCCCTTTTTTATGTCCTTTGATTCTGTTTATGTTATCGCGTTTCTCTCAGATATTGCGGAATTTCACCCGTTTTGGATTACCCGCGTTTCTTGTTTTAATTTTTGTTTCATTTTCTGCATGTTTCTTTCATTTGATTGTGTTTGGATTGTTTTGTATTTATTCTGTTTGACAATTGGATGTCGATCATGCTTTCCGATTCTGAAAAGGTTAGTACTATGTCCACGAATGAAATGCAGTTTATATTCACGCGCTGATTCTGTCCATAAAACCTTGGATAATTGGCAATCGGTTATGTGGGATCTTCTTCATCTAGCAAATTGTGGCAGCTTCAATTTTTAATTTTTACTTTTGACCACTGAAGAAATTTTTTGATTTGGATGTAAATTTTATCGCTTCCCAGTTTTCTAATTGATTTTAGAGTCTGATGGGGATTGCAGAGTGGAATTTGTGATAGAAACAGAAGCTCATTTTCCTTTCTAATGATTTGTTTCAGCGGAAGTAATAGTATATGTCAACTCAGTTTCTTGTCCGTGTGGAGAAACATTAGCAATTTATGTTTAAAGCAATAATTTGGAAGAGGAAGAATGGAGGCTAACATCTGTGACGTCAATCACCTTGATGCTGATGTCCTTCTACCTCCAAGAAAGCGTCTTCTTGCTGGCTTGAGAAAGCAAGGTGCCGATGGTGATGGTACTTTTAATCTGCCTCCAGTTGCCTCCCCCTCCTGTTCTCCTCCTCCTTCTCCTTCCTATGCCACCACTTCTATAGAATTCAATATACGGCTTAGCAATCTGTTGAGTGCTCATTCAAATACTAACCTATCACCTGAGGAGATAGTGGAGGCCTCAAGATCAGCTGCAGCTGCAGCTGTGAAGGCTGCGCAGTCCGCCAGGGCAGCAGCTGAAGAGAAGGCTGCGATTGCAGCAAAGGCTGTTGCAGCTGCAAAGAGCGCCATGGACTTGGTCGCCTCGATTTCTGAAGAAGCAGCTTGCAAAGAAATTAACCTGAGGAAGAATAAGCTGAAGAAACATGTCCCAGTTCAGCTTCTGTACACAAAATATCAACCCATTGAGAATTGCAAGACAGATGAAGAGTTAGCCCGCAAATTGCATCGGGCAATCAATAGCTCCCCGAGAATCACGAAGAATTCTTCTAGTCCTGATGTTAGAGGCCAAAAACATAAGAAGTTGAAAAGCTCACCTGGTTCTGAGAAAACTAGGGTTTCCAATTGCGACATCTCACAAGAGTTGGACCCTACTCCCTCATGCAATGGGCATGCTAAAATTAGCGAGGCTAGCTCTGAATGCAGCTTTCGGGAAGTATACAAGCTCAAAGCTGATGAGAAGACTAGCAAGTATGAGAAGAACTATCAATCTCGGATGGATAATGGAGAAGCAGAGACAAGTCGAAAGGAGAAAACATGTGACGATATTAGCGTCACTGTCAAAAAGAGGGGAAGAGTAAAGCTTAAAAAATTGCCTTTGAGTATTTGTTCTTTCAGGGATCAGGCAACTCTCAAGGAAGAGATGAATAATGGAAGTTCCCCAATATTGACTGTGCAAAAAACGGGGTCTCCCACATCTGAAAATGTTATTTTGCATTCTGTAGGTAGCCCTACCGAAGGTGTGATGCCAATAGATTCTACATCAGTATGGAAATGCCAGGAGTTCAATGCTCCCCTTTCTGTCAAACAGAATAAAGTTATGCAGTCATGACCGGATATGACATATGGTAAAAGGTTGCTGCCAATAGAAGTTGATAGTTGAGGTAGGATTCGTGCAGCTTTTCTTATAGAAACGGCTTTACTCCATCTGTCTTCCTCTTGATCCTGCATATTTTGTTTCATAATGAACTGGGACAGATCAATTGTAAATTTCATATTATGTGTTTGAATATTCTCCAGAGTTCAAAGATATCCTTTATGACACACAGCTTGAAGTCAAAATAAGAGGGATACAATAAACCGAATACTTGAATACTCCTTGTTTTTTGGGAGGCATTTTTGTCTTGATTTCTCCATATATGCGGAATATACTAAAAAGTAATCCCCATGTATCTGTAGGTAAGATCTGTAGATGGTCGTTTTGATGGTCCTGCTACAGTTGTATCAATATATTGCTTAATGACGTTCTCCTCATTTATAGGAGTTGTGGATTGAAAGAAATTGAAGAAATTTTCAAACTATTGTGTTGTACTTGTTGAAAGAGTAAACCGTTTGCTTTCTGTGTTCTCATAGTGTTCTTGATTATTGATTAATCATTAATGATGATTAGATTGTATTCTCCAGATCTCTTTTTCCCTCTAAGAAGAGAATTGCCTTATCCTCTCGTAGCACTGTAATTGCTCATATTTATTAATGAAAGCTTCCTTCCCTTTTCTTAAATAAGTAATGTTCTACGTGAAGCTTTGTTCTCTGTTTTTGTGTTGACTGCCAAACACATGAGCTACTAAACTAGCTGTTACCGTTTGTAAGAATGATAGGATTTGGCTGGTTTTGTGGCTTGAAATTTTGAGTAGTTGAATTCTGTCACAAAATCTGGCGCTCGAGAGGTCATTTTCGGGCTGATGAAATCTCTCAATTTGTATCAGTGGAGAAGGAGATTAATTACTGAGGCTCTCTCTCTCTCTCTAAACATGATCTTTAGATATCAAAAGCTGTTTTAGGGTGTTCGGATGATATTGATGTTCATTCTCAACGGTGAAGGAAGAAGTTGCTTTTGCCACCAAGGTACCAGCAAAGCCATCCAGCTCAGCAACAAAGGTACATAGCCGATATACTCGGTGGACATATTAGCTAGAGAGATTCCAAGATGGTGTAGTCTATTGCTAGGTTTAACACCTCTATTTGGGCGTCACTTAATAAAGGATTTTTTTCTTATCCTTTAGGTCTTATTTCTTTGAATTGGAGTCCCTCCTTGTATAATTAGCCTTGGAATTATATTTGTGGACTGTCTTTTTGTATGCCTTTATTTTTTGCCTCATTGTTCCTTTTGTTTGTGTTTTCTTTTATTAAAATGTAAAATAGAATGGAACTCCTAACCACAGTTAATATTCAATATGTAATTTTATCTTTTTCCTTTTTAAATGAAAACTATATGTATGTATGCATACACACGCATATATTGAAAATCAATGTGACATTAATTCAAGATGGTTCTAAAAGTATAATTATATCGGTGGTAAACATATTATCTCAAGATGGTGGATTAAAATCTACTTCTATATGTTGTACTAAAATAATATTAACAGGGTACTCAAGAAAAAAAAATAAGGCAAAAGAAATAGGGTATGCACTACTAATATTATTTCCTTATACTTTTATATATACATATCCATATACATATGTACCCTTATGCTTACATTTTAGGCTTTCAAACATAACAAGAGACATGTATATTAATCTTGTAATTTAGAGACATTATTTGTACACATAAAAGATAAAGGTTGTTGTTATATGAACGTAACCGATGTAATATCTTGATTTCAAATGCCAAAAGTTGTAATTATAGATTATCTCATTGATAAAGTCAAAGTGAAACCGCATCACTAAAGACGTAAATTGTTTCATGGATTTTGGAATAAATATTAAATATTCATGTTTGTTTGGGAGATTATATAACTTCTTAAAACCCAATAATTAATTATCCTTATATGAAATCTTTATATATATATAAAAAGTTCTTATAGGTTAACATAAGCTTTAACTCATGGTAATTGAGACCTACCTTCGATAAAGAGGGTGTGAGTTCGAATCCCTCACTCTTATATGAAATGAATTTAGAAACTTTACTCTCAAATTTTGTTTCTAGCTATTATATAAGATTAAATCGTGCTCTCTACCATTAATTTGGGACAATAGCAATATTGACTGAGAACGTTTAAAATCAAACGAGAATGGACTTCCAATTAATCAAGAACACGGTACTGAAACAATGGCTACTTGTATACCTAGTATGGCGACTACTCTGTTTCTTATTTTAAATTTCCTTTTTTTTTTCAAACTTAGTTTCTATATTTGAAATATGGTAAAAGAATACAAAATGGGTGGGTGAAGGTGAAGAAATTAAATGTTAAAAAAGGAAAAAGAATCAAAACAAGATCCACATGAAGACTGCAGACCAAACAGCAAGAGCAAGAGCTGCAGCCAAATAGGTCCATAGCAATATAACCGAGCATTCTTCTTGACCAACCCCAAACAACTGAGTCATGGTGCTGATCGCCATCGCCGGCGGCGTCGTATACTGAATCATCAACAAGAATTGATACAGAGGATCCGGCGACAGAAACCCCAAGGCATTGGCACCTTTCACCACAAAAACGCCAATTCCGGGCAGTGCAAAGTACCGAACAGCGATCACCCCTACGATCGTCGACGCCTTCACCTTCGACGATCGTAGCCCTTGAGTCAGGTTGCCCCCTAGTATAAGAGTGGTACAAGGGATCGTTCCGTCCCTACATATACATAACATGATTTGAACTTTCGACCTTAAAAAAAATCTTAACTTAACCAATTTAGAGTGATTTAAAATTACCCGAGTAGTTGAATAGCATCTTGGATTACTCGAAATGGAGCCTGCGACCCAACTATGAGATGCCTAAGCCATGTGACCGATCCAAAAATGAATCCCACAATCTAATCACAGATCACCAGTGGTAAAAATTTAAAACAGCAACCAACCCAAGTAGTTTGTATGGGTAGAGAAATTAATATATGGGTACTTACGGCTCCTAATGATGGAGGGGCCATCAACTCTTCAATGATAACGTGAAAAAGTTGAAGTATTTTAGCCCAAAGGGAGGCTGGTTCCTGTTTCTGTAAGATGGCCACTGGTTGTTGGGATTCAATCTCTTCTCCATTATGTTGGTTGTGGAGAAGGTGAGTATGTAGGGCGGCATTGGAGGCCTGGTTGGGTGCTTTCAACAGCTCCTCGGACGCCTCGAGTTCTTTGAGGCGCAACGAAGACGTTTTCACCAGGTGGAAAGTGGAAGTCCACAAGTAAAACCCACCGAGCTGAAAAAGTTCAATTAAATCTTAAGCTGATGGATTGAGTAAATTTAATTCATATATTTGATATCTAACATTTACCGCTGCGGAGAAGGATGCGTAAGAAAGTCCAAGAGAACTACAGGTTTCGCGGTCCCCGAAAGGGCTGCCTTCTTCGGCGCAGATGGCAGGGATGATGATGAGAAGAAGGTTTCCCAAGTTTCCTAATTAATACCCAACAAGTAAAAAATTAATCATAATTAACGAAATGGAAATCAACCAAAAACAGAGCAATTAAACTAACCAGCAGAAGAGGTTCCAATGATAAGGCCTTCAAGATATGGCTTGGGTTTCAATATTTTAACAGCTATCCATCCCAATATTCCTCCCAACAGAAACGTAAGACCAATGTTCAGTGGCATGAACCACCTAAACAAAAATAATTCAATCAACATATGATTAATTAGAAAGAGTTAGTTTAATTAATTAGTAAAATACCATGAAATGATGTCCTGGAAGGTGACTGTTTTGGCCAAATTTGCAAACATGAGACAAGGAGTGAAAACAGTAAAAACAATCTGCACAAAAGAAAAGACAAAGAAGAAATTAATTACATGGTGGGATTTAAGCCAAAGTTATTTTTTTCTAATTGTCAGATATTTAATGACGGTAAAAAGTAACAGGAAGGAGGAGATGACCTTGTTGAGGGAGTTTCGAGCGTGAGCAGGAAGAATATTGCAGTAATCAGTGGCCAGAAAAGCTCCCAATAAACAGATGAGGAGGACTTGTAAATTGGGCATCAATGCCACCTCCAACAGTGACAGCAGCCCCATCTTCCCCGTAAATCTCTCTCTGTGTTTCAATTTGCAACCATTAAAATCAAATCAATACAAAATTAACAATAAACATTCACCACTCCACTCTATTACCTGGGCTGGAATGGAAATCAAGTTTTAAAACGCAGAGAAACAGAAACGATGTAATATATATATATATATATTTTTAGGGTTTTGTTTTGTTTTCTTCGATTGGGGTTGGCTTGGGCCGTGAGCCGTGAGAATTTTGGTTTAGTACAGCGCGCCCGATCGTAGCTTTCGAAAATGACAATTGACAAGGGCATGGCCACGCCAAAGCAGCTGCATTCTCAATTCTGATTCACTCTCGATCATCTTTTATTATATTCTTTTGTCTTTTCTTCTTTCTCATTCTAAAAAACATAAATATTCTGTTGGAGGGCCGTCATCGTTAAGTCGACAAACCCAACTCTGCGTCTATTGGAAAAGTTTGGAGGCAATGAATTTAATGCCGAACTTGCGAAAAAAGAAACTGAGTACTGTATGGGTATCATATATCAAAATGCATTACTTTAATTTATTGGTGTATGGAAAGAACAAATTTGTTTAGAGGAGGAAGAGGAAAGAAAGAAACAGATCAGGTGAAGAAGTAGACTTCAGAAATAAAACAAATAAATTGGGAATTAATGGAGTATACCTGAAATTTGAAGTTTGAAGAGGAGAGAGAGAGGCAAATAATTAAGTTAATCTGTGGATTAATTGGGCAGAAGAGAGGAGATTAGAGATTAAACCTTTGATATTGTTAATTTTGAATTAATAATATTATTGAAAAGGATGCAAACCTGGAGTTAAGGTTAGGCGAGAAGACGAAACCAAACAAATCTGCAGACGAATTTTTGGATCTGGATCTGGATTGGTTTAATTAGAGTCTCAATTGATCCAAATTGAATTTGTATTTATAGGAACACAAACTGGAGAGGGTCTCACCTCTATGCATGGCGACCATGCGATGGAAACACAATTTTTTTATTAATTTATTCTTTATTATCATCTGATCATATAATCCATCCGAGATGGAAACTTTCACAACACACCACACGGATCCTCATGCTAAATTTGTAACCGGAAATAATTTCCCTCTTAAAAGTTAATTTCTTTTTTTTTTTCCTTCGAAAATATATGCACTCTTTCATATGAGAAAAAACTTTGCTTCCTAAAACTAAGAGAGAGAAATATAAGAATGAAGACTTTTTGCCAATTTTTTTTAATGGTGATGAAGATAAGATTTAATTATAAAGAAATTGTTTTGATGAGTTTGTGGTGTAGCGCATAAATGCAAATTAGATTCGAGAAATTCTTGACTTCAAGAAAATGAGTACGTACCAACTCTGGTTGAGCTATATGATGCCTTTCTCATCCCCAGTATTTTCCAAAATATACTGAGGTGTTGAATAATTGAAATTTTGTACTAAAATTTTTTTCCCTCTATTATATTTTACCTGTCAGCATCAGCAATGAGTATTTTTCATATTATATTGAAATATAGTATTTATGAACTTTGGTTTGAAACGTATTGAATTTGATAAGGTCGAAACAAACAACCCAACGCCGCCTGGCCGCCACCGTGGACGTTGGAGCAGCCAATTTGGAAAAGTCACCGTTCCACCGGGGCCCACTCCCACCACAACCCTAATTTTCGGGATGCTTTTCTTATACGCTTAAATCCTCAAATTACAGCTGCCAACTTCAATGTATATCTACCTAAACTATCCATAAATTGAAATTTTAAATTCCATGCATCGAAAAATTGTGGACTTCGAAATGTTATACTCAAAACAAAAAAGTGAGGCAACAAGTGACCAATAACATATTAAAGAATTTATATAAATAGCTTCGTCTTCTTTTGTAATATTTACTAATACCATGTTTCTTTCATATATAACTTCAATTTTTTAGAATTTATTATATGATACGACTAAATATACAAGTAGTAAAATAAATATTTTTCCACACTGAGATAGAGAATTGAGAAATTTCCATTTTATTTTATAGTAATAAAAAAAAAAGCCAATTAGTAGATGTCAATTCAAATAAAAACGTCAAGTCTTAGAGTATAATATTTTACAATTATATACTAGAGATACAATGGATCATAGATAGCTTTTTTCATGTTTCATTTTAATAATTTTGATCCTTATATTTTTTTTATATATTTAAAAGTGTTTTTTTTAGTTAAAGAAGTATCATTTTATGTTTAGTTAAATTACTATTTTATATTGAATAAATAAGATCACTTTTAAATTAAGCTAATTGTAAAAAAGTTGAAGTGATAGAGCTTCTAAAGATATAATTTATATTTATCTATAGCATTATTTGAGAATTTTATTTTGGCTTTATCTTGACTTTGGAAATGATATTTTATTGAAAATATTTCGAAGAAGTGCTAACATTATAAATGTCTAAGATCGAGGTACTAGGCTTTTACAACTAATTTAGTCTGGGATTTGATTTCGATCTCTACCATCGATATATGGTTCTGGTGAACACCTAAAAACTTCACATCAGTATGGCGTTAAGTCCAACACACTCCGATGTCTAAGTAGCAGATAATTTTGTTGGGATCACTAGTGAAAGTATAGTTGTGAGCGTTTCGCACCCCAAGTCTCGGTTCCTATTTATAGAGGGGGTTTTCTTGGGTGTGGTCTGGATGGATTGATCACCTATGTCATTTGTCTAACTTCACTTCATGTGAGTTTGGTTGAGTAATTTCACCCATGTCATTTAGTATTATTTGTTTTCTTTTTTATTACAGATTTTTATATTGGTGATAAGATACATATTATTTTACACGTCCACCAAGCATCTTGAAGATCTCATTCTTAATCCTAATTGAAATCGAGTAGTTATACTCAATCAACATATATTATATAATTTCATAAATAACGCTCATCATTTACTAATTAATATACATATTCAAAATCACATAATTTAGTTAAATAATTATTAATGTCAAAATAACAACAATTTTGATACACAATGAATATTTTAAGTAAGATGACAAGAAATTGTCATCTATATTTTAAACAAGACAATGTCAAATTGTCATCTTAGAGTCATGCAATTGCATAAAATGCATGTATCTAAGTTGTCATCATTTTTTGAGGTTTTCACACTAATAACGCCCAAAATAAGGAAAGTAATAATAATTAGAAGATGATAACCCTTATTTTGTTGGATTGGATCTACATCCTATATTTTGATCACGTTTATTTATCTGCAATTGTAATGGAAATCAATAGTAGTGTCAATCAATTGTAAAGAAATCAATCGGATTCGTAATGTTATTCCATTGATGATGTTTACCAGAAACTTYGTGGAATCGTACTCAAATTCCTTTGATGTTGTTTACTAAAACTGTCTGGAATCGAAATCGGAATCAGATATATAACAATTACTAATATACCATTTTCTTCTTTTTAGTTAATTACAAATATATTATTGTGCTAATCTTTTTTAAATTACAATAATAATAAATTTTAATTTAATTTATTACCATATCATTGATAATAAATATTTTTTATTATAACAATTTAACTAATATTAATACATAATGAATAATTAAAATAAAATTATATAAAATTTAATATAACATATTATTAAGTTTTGTTATCGTAATATTTAAAAGTAATAATATCTATTTAAAAATTTTATTGATATTAATTAATATTAATTTATCATATTATATAATAAAAAAATAAAAAAATTGGAATATAAAGGAGAAGAAATCATATAAATATATATAAAAAAAACTAATTAAAAATTTATGGATCTTATCCATAGATGAAACAGAAAAGGTAAAAGTGGTACATTAATTATAATATATAGTGGGGTCTGCGGAATAAGAAATAGAATGAGATTGATGAGGTTGTAGGAATGTAATGAGATTACACTTGTTGGATGAGATTACAAAGTTTGAGATAGGTCCTACCATTTGATTACCTTCCTACAAGTTGGAAAAATCCATAAAGAGAAATGAAAGTTCTCATTACGATTTATTGATTACGATTGTGGATAAGTAAATTGGGCTTTGATGTTTTCCCTTTTTTTTCTTTTTAGTTCCATTTAGGGTAGAGGAGTTTATCCTAATTTTCACGTAATTGGCCTCGTTAATTATTATTTTAAACAATACATGCGCGTATGTTTTCATTTGACTCTTCAACTAATACTACAATGATGATTGACAAAAGGACTATTAAATAAGTTAAGATGTTAATTAGGAAGCAATTTTTAAGTTAATTAGTGATAAATTAATTTATTTATAAAAAATTTTGCATTTGGAAGTATTTCTTTTTAAAAATAGCGTAGTTGAATTACTTTTATAAATATTTTCGAGGATAAAGTTACCTAGCTACTATAAAAAATTGGGAAATATATATAATCTTTTTATTTCATCAAAATTGAATTAAATTAATACATTATTAATTAAGTTTTATTTTTTTTAACAATTTGTTGCTATTTATGAGATTCTTGTGACTATATGATTGCAAGACGTGTGTAATTTTGTGGTAAAGTCATTTCAACTTTGTATTTGAGTATTTATATAGTTTTATTTTTTTAGTACAACAAATATGTAGGACGAGAGATTGAATATTTGACTCTAGAGTAAAGTAAATTAATTTCTTAACTGTGTTCACATCGGTTAAATAGCTTCATTGTAGGTAGCTTTATTTATCGACTTTTTTCTTTAATTATTCACAAGTCGGTTTAGTTAGCAAATTTTTAAATAATTTAATTTTGATGAGGTATTAATCTTCTTATTTATTTATTTTTTTTATCCCATCAACAAGTGGAGGTGAAAATTTGAAATTATAATTTTTTTCTTTCAATTTTTTTTATCTTATCTAACTTTTATCTCCCTCTAAATATATATATTTTTTGCTTAACTTTTTTTTCCCTCTTTCTAATTTACTCTCTTATTATCAATCCGAGCTAAACAAGACAAACCGTACCAATTACTTTTCTAAGACGTTTCTGTAACTCTACTGAAAAAAACTTATCCTCCCATATATTTATTAAAGTAATATAAATACAATATGAAGGATAGATGACAAAAAAATTTATAATAATTATTAATTTTTTAGTACGCAAGAATTCATGATTATTCACTCAATATATAGGCTATCTCCAATAATATTCTACTAGCTACCATACCATTACATATTTCCAATTAGCTAGCACTGAAAGTGTACGTAGAAAAGCACTACTCACTCGTTCAAAATACTCACCTCACAACCATCATCTAGAGACGAAAATTAGAGACGAACATAATTTTCATCGCAATAAAAACGTCGTTTTAGAAACGACGAAAGAGTAATTTCGTACCACTTTCGTGGCTCGGTTGGCGCRCCCACCCCATATGGGAAACAAAAACTAAAATATCACAATAAAAAAGAAACAAATTAATATGGGAAGGTAGAGGAAAATGGAGTTTCTTCCTCAATCCCTTCACTAGAAAATTGAGATGAAAATGCAAGATATGACAAATTTGTTGAAATGAGCATGTATATGTATTATTGTGTAAATTAATAAAAAGTTATGGTTTAGTTTAGTTTGACAAGATGCACATGAAGATGGCATACCAAAAAGCTAATGCAACGACGGCAGCCAAACAGGTCCACAACATGATAACGGAGCACTCTTCTTGACCCACTCCGAACAATTGAGTCATTATGCTTATAGACATACCAGGCGGCAATGTGTACTGAACCATCAACAAGAACTGATACAGCGGATCTGGCGGCAGAAATCCTAATGCTTCCGCCGCTTTCACCATCACAATTCCGATTCCGGGCAGAGCAATGTATCGGACCACGATCACTCCGATAATGATCACCGGCTTCACTCTCGACGACCGTAGCCCTTGAGTCAGGTTGGCGCCTAGTATAAGAGTGGTGCTCGGGATTGTTCCATCACTGCCACATAAGTTACTTAAATATGTTAATTAAGCATCCAACGCAGATTGTACGTAAAGATAAGCTACTTTTGATCTCTCGTTGCTAATTGTTTTTTAAGATAAAACTCCATGAAGAAAAGAAAAAGAAATGCATACCCGAGTAGTTTGACAGAGTCTTGGATTACTCGAAAGGGAGCAGTCTGTCCAACCACGAGATTTCTAAGCCATGGGACGGCTCCGAAAACGAATCCCACGATCTAGACCCATTAATTTTGATGCAATTTTGGGATCATAATTGCATGGAAAACGTATGTTGAACGTAGAGAAAATAAAAAAATGTGACTTACGGCTCCTAATGTTGGTGGCTCCATCAACTCTTTAATAATAACGCGAAGCATGTGTTGAATTTTAACCCATATGGAATTGGATGCTTCATCTTTTAATTGTTTCTCTAAAATGGGAACAGCAACAGCTTCTTGGGATTCAACCTGAAATTAAACTGAGTTTATTACAATATATTAATAATTTAAAGATTTTGTTTTTGAATTTACCTCTGGTAAGGTGTTGGAAGTAGGAACGACGTCGTGTTGTCGAGGTTGTTGTTGATGGAGCAGATGAGTTTGCAGATCGGCTTGGTTGGCTGCTTCCAACACCTCCTCTGTATCTGTTTCTTGGTGTGCTAATTTCAGTCGCAAGGAAGATTTTTTCACTAGATGGTAACTGTAAGTCCAGCTGTAAACACCCCCAAGCTGAGGGACACAGAGAAAGAAAAAAAGGTTTTAAATCCTCTCTCGCCTGAATAGGAAAGAGGGATGGAAATGGAATTTTAGGGTGTGGGCAACGTTTCGTTTCTTCTTTTTTAATAAAGAAAAAATGAATAGCATGATCCAAATATCGGTGAAAATTCACTACGATAAAAAACAATCTTTTTAGGTTTTGGAATAAATTGAAAATGAAAAAAAAGTATTATCTACCATTTCGAAAGGGTTCCAAATAAGGAGAAAAAGAAACATAATCAGTTTAAAAATGTTTAGATTTCTTAAGAAAATTGAAAGAAATGGAAACGTTGCCGAACATGCTCTTAAAAATTGGTTGTTTGGTTTGGTTTACCGCCATGGAAAAGGAGGCATAAGAGAGTCCACGAGAATTACAGGTTTCACGATCACCGAAAGGATTGGCCTCCTCCGCACATATGGCCGGCACGATGATCAGAAGAAGATTTCCCAAGTTTCCTAATAGTAAAGAAATACCCAACCAATTCAAATTACTAATTACAATCATCAAAATATATCTACATTAATTACCCTCAATAATCTTAATAAAAGTTTAAATTAAATATAGCTGATTAAGAATCTGACCAGTAGCAGAGGAAGCAATGACAAGGCCTTCAAGATATGGCTTGGGTTTAAAGATTTTAACAACAATCCATCCCAAAATTCCTCCAAATAAAAAGGTAAAAGCAATATTCACCGGCATGAACCACCTAATTAGTTAGAAATAAAAAATAAATATTGATTTAGATATGTTGCTGAAAGGGGAAATTAGAAGATAATAAGAAATAAATGAGATGGTTTTGTTGTATTACCATGAAATAATGTCTTCAAAGGTGACAGTCGTTGACAAATTTGCAAACATGAGACAAGGAATAAAAACACTAAACACAATCTGCAGTACAACATTAACACAATTAAATTAAAAATGATTGAGTGTATGAATAATATAATACAGGTGGATTAAATTATTTAGACGATTAATTACCTTGTTGAGAGAGGTTCGAGCATGGACAGGAAGAATATTGCAGTAATCAGTGGCCAAAAAAGCTCCCAGCAAACAAATGAGGAGGACTTTTATATTGGGCATGGAAGCCACCTCCAATAGAGACAACAACCCCATCTTTCTTCAATTCTATTTCAATTTTTCATCCCATCAACCTTTTTTATATAAAAAAAATATTTGGCAACAGCTATCTTATCCTCACTACTATTAAATGTTTGACTATTAATTAAATGTTTGATAATTGAGAAAGATAAATACAAAAATAAACATTTTCTTTTTAAATAGATATATATAACACATTGGAGGTACATTATTATCATATTGCAAGTTCGATAAAAAGTATATATTATTTAACCTACTAGATTCATATATAACAATGAAAAATATATATTATATAATATTTTAGAGGTATATATGTTTACCATGTTGTATATTATAATTTTTAAATGAAAAATGTATTACATAAGTGTCGTTGGAATATATTATATAATCTAATAGTTTAACATATATAAATTAAAAGTATATATTATATAACATTTTGGATGAGTATATGTTTATCATACTATTGGTTGGGAAAAAAAAGACTTTGGAAAATAAATAATAAGGGAAAGAAGATAATTAAAATATGGAAAGAATATTCTAGAGGAGTATATATTTATCATACTATTAAAAAAAAAAAAAAAGTAGGAAAATGAGAAGACTCTGGATGAATGGGCGAATTCATTTATATGGAAATTGAAATAGAATGAGTTGACGGATTCGGAGAGATACAATCATGGAAAAGATTTGTTTTTGTCATAAAAGTGGAATAATTTACAATATATTATTAAAATGAAAAAATTAGGAAAATAAATGAATTGGGACGGTTAGAATATTATTCATTCTATTTTGAAAGCGGGTATAAATACTACTGTTAATTGATCACTTTATGAATAAGACTGGTGACTGTACATTTGATGATCAAATTTTTCACTCATATTTCTGTTGATAATAAAGTGGTAGTTTTAGTTCTATTTTTAGAATTTTGATAGACGGCATGAGACATCTAAATATATCATATTTAATATGAAAATTTTAATTTTGGAAACATTTAATTTAAAATAAACGCAAATCTTATTAAATATAAAATCAATAAATGAGTACAATCTTGATATTAATAAAAAAAAATTTAATGTTAGAATCTAAAAATGTTAAATATGAAAACACAATCCATTTATGAAAAATAGTTTTCAAAATGACCAACCAAAGACAATTTCTCTCGAGAATTTATATTGCGTGTCGCTGATCTCAACACAGGCAACAAGGTACTTTTACTTTTTGTCCGACATGTTTTACTTGTTTTAAATCCTTTTTGGTGCCTCTTTTCCATGTATTTTTTTGCTTCTTAAATTTTAAAATAGAAAGAAAACTATATTTCCTTAAAATTTTGAGATATATATTTTAGTTTTTAAATTTTGAAAAAACAATTAAAACACATTTCGAAAGTATAAAAATTAAAATAAGTCAAAATTAAAAACACAAATAAACCTGGACTAAGATAATATTTTAAACAAATTTAAATGATATGTAGTATAAGAATTTTAAAAAAAAATGTGAGGCAAAATAATGAAATTGTTATTTTCCTAAATCCAATATAATTAATCATGTGAAACTGGAATCAATTGACGTACCCAATTTCACATGATTAATGAAATGGGTCCATTAATTGAAATTTTTTTTTTTTGGGACAGGGGTCCATTAATTGATTATTATAGATGGAAAAAATGATCAATATATATAATAACTCTGAATGCGTATTACAAATATTTGTGTAAAAAAACTTCATTTAAAAAATCATTAAAAAAGAAAGAGAATTTCATTCAAAATTTGGAGAGAGAAAAACCATTAAAAAATAGAGACAAAAAAATATTTTTTTTAGTATAGACAATTAAGAATTAGAAAATCAAGTTAATTTTTTTTATACTCTACAAAAATCAAGTTAAAATTGAAAAACTAATTACGAGGTAGGGTAAGTTGGGAAGCATAACTTTTTTGGCCGGTTCAACTTTTTAAAGTATTAAACTAAAATACTTAGCGGGTTTACTAATTGCTAAGGTACCAGGATTTTAAATATCCGTCGATAGGTAGATATTTCCATCGACATTCATGAATTCGACATTGATATGAGAGATAAATAGACATTTCTATCATAGTATAAGAAAATCGACAAAAATATCAACAAAATATTACTAATGTATACATAATATTAAGATTAATTATTTTTAACTAATTTCGAAATAGAAAAATATTTATTTTATCCATTTAAATATTCTTTACGATTTTTAAAATTTTTCTAATTTTTACACATATGTGACGATATTTTTATCAATATTTTCATAAAATTGATCTCAACATTTCGATTTCATGGATTGCGAGGAATTGTGATGCGAAATAAATGGCAGTTAGAGAGTAGAGAGAGAAGCGAACCTGGTGGGTGATGGGACGGAGAGGAGTCCACCGGCGAAGAAGGAAGAAGACGATCGGCGATTGCGATTCCGGATCTGGATCTCGGATTCACACAACTGAAAGTTGAAGGAAGAAATGGAATTGATGGTATAGTATTATATATTATAGGGAAGAGAAGAGTGGGAAACTGCCGTCCCCGCTACCGGACAAACCTCCTAAAGGCTCGACTCTTGGAGCCACCAGCAGCCGCAGCACGGCTCTTGCTCTTACATTATGTTAACTTCAAATACTATTTTAATCCACTTTTTATTCATTTTTGTGTCCTACTTTCAACGGTTATTCTGCTTGTTTTACTACCATTAACTTTCAACAATGACTTTTTTTCTTTTTGACTATTTTGGTTACTTATTTGTAAACCCTAAACCCTAAACAAAATTAGACCAACAGTGACAATTTCATATGCTAAACATCAATGTTAAACATGTGTGTAACTTCATAAATTGGAGTTTATATTATCTTTTTGAATCTCGGTCACATTAACATTAACAAATACTAAACCATTAATACAGTGTGAATTCAACTATGTACCTCCAGCAAGAAATCGACATAACAAACCTAACAAATTTTTGTGAAGGCGGCCCCGAGCATTCTCACGGCTCTCTTAGACTATGAAGTTGTCTCATTCAGTCGTTGTTGGGTCCGGGGGAACAGACCAGGGAGGCTCTCTAACAAAAGCATCCAAAAATTTTCTCTCTCTGAATAAATATGTTTATTGTTTTTGTCCCACTTTCTAATTTACTCTCCTATTGCCAATTGGAACTAGGCAAAGATATCAATTACTTAATTCCAACTAGGCAAAGGATATCAATTATTTTTGTAAGACGTGTTTGTAATTGTACTAAAAAAACTTATCCTCCCATATATTTATTAAAGTAATATATATAATAACGATGGTTAAAATATGAAGGATAGATGACACAACCTTTTCAAAAAAAAAAGACAGATGACACAAAAATTTATAATTATTATATATTAATATTATTTTTTGAGTACACAAGAATGTATAATTATCCACTCGATATAGGCTATTTCCAATAATATTGTACTAGCATAGTGTTGCATATTTCCAAGCTAGCACTGAAAAGTGTACAAAGATGATTAATTTACAAGCACTCAAAAATGTATTCTCCCACTCACTCAAAATACTCGTCTCACAACCACCCCATCAAATGCACAACTAAAATATCACAATCAAACAACAAACTAATATTGGAAGGAGAGAAAATGGAGTAATTTCTTCCCCAATTCCCTTCGCGAGAAAATATGATAAATGTGTTGAGGTGAGCATATGCATGTATTATTGTGTAAATTATTAATAAGTTATGGTTTTGTTTAGTTTGTCAAGATCCACATGAAGACGGCATACCAAAGAGCTAATGCAACGGCCGCACCTAAATAGGTCCACAGCATGATAACAGAGCACTCCTCTTGACCCACTCCAAACAACTGAGTCATTATGCCGATGGACATGGCCGGCGGCAATGTGAACTGAACCATCAACAAGAATTGATACAGCGGATCCGGTGGTAGAAATCCTAACGCCTCCGCCGCTTTCACCACCACAATTCCGATTGCAGGCAGCGCAAGGTAGCGGACTACGATCACTCCGAGAATGATCACTGGCTTCACTCTCGACGACCGTAGCCCTTGAGTTAGGTTGGCTCCTAGTATAAGAGTGGTGCTAGGGATTGTTCCATCACTGCCACATAAATTACTTAAACACTAATATAAGAGATCAAAGTGAAATAAATGAAACAAATAGTTAATTTATTTTAAGTTTAAGAACATACCCGAGTAGTTTGACAGAGTCTTGGATTACTCGAAACGGAGCCGTCTGTCCAACCACGAGATTTCTAAGCCATGGGACGGCTCCGAAAATGAATCCCACAATCTAGACCCATTAATTTTGATGTAATTTTGGGATTTTAATTGCATGAAAAAAGTATGTTGAACGTAGAGAAAATGAAAAAAAGGTGACTTACAGATCCTAATGTTGGTGGCTCCATCAACTCTTTTATAATACCGCGAAGCATGCGTTGAATTTTAACCCATATGGAATTGGATGCTTCCTCTTCCAACTGTTTCTCCAAACTGGGAACGGCAACAGCTTCTTGGGATTCGATCTGAAATTAAACTGAATAATTTATTAGAAAATATTAATAATTTAAAGATTTTGTTGTGGAATTTACCTCTGGTAAGGTGTTGGAAGTGGAAACGGCGTCGTCTTGAAGCAGATGAGTTTGCAGATCGGGTTGGTTGGCTGCTTTTAGCACCTCCTGATCCGTTTCTTCTTGTGCTTTCAGTCGCAAGGAAGATGTTTTCACTAGATGGTAACTGTAAGTCCAGATGTAGAAACCCCCAAGCTGCAACCAACAACCGAGGGACACAAAAATTATTATTCAACTAAAATTTAAAATTTGGGTATCAAAGATTTATAATAGAGATTGACTACTATTTTCATTGTCTATTTATTTCAAGGAGATATCCATGTACATTAATATGACACCAAAACTTAAAAGGCTCAAACGAGCATCCGATCTAAAAATAGAATCCGATCAAGATCAATTATGATTTTGAGACGGTATTCATGTATATTTGGAATTAAAGAGGGATGGAAATGGAATTAAAAGAAAAAAAAATGGTTGTTTGGATTACCGCCATGGAAAAGGAGGCGTAAGAGAGTCCACGAGAAGTACAGGTTTCACGATCACCGAAAGGGTTGCCCTCCTCCGCACAGATGGCCGGCACGATGATCAAAAGTAGGTTTCCCAAGTTTCCTAATAGTAAAGTAATTCCCAACAGATTCAAATTACTAACAATCATCAAAATATTTACCTTCAACAATCTTAAAAAGCTGAAACTGACCAGTGGCAGAGGAAGCAATGACAAGGCCTTCAAGATACGGCTTGGGTTTAAAGATTTTAACGACCATCCATCCCAAAATTCCTCCAAATAGAAAGGTAAAACCAATATTCACCGGCATGAACCACCTAAAATAGTTAATAAATAATATTGAAGAAAAATTAAGGGGAAATTAGATGATGATGAAGAGAAGAAATGAGATGGAGTTTGTATCGTATTACCATGAAATGATGTCTTGAAAGGTGACAGTCTTGGACAAATTTGCAAACATAAGACAAGGAGTAAAAACACTGAACACAATCTGCAGTAGAACATTAATACAATTATATTCATTTAAAATGATTGAGTGTGAGAATAAAATAATATAGGTGGATTAAATTACCTTGTTGAGAGAGGTTCGAGCATGGGCAGGAAGAATATTGCAGTAATCAGTGGCCAGAAAAGCTCCCAGCAAACAAACGAGGAGAACTTGTATGTTGGGCATGGAAGCCACCTCCAATAGAGACAACACCCCCATCTTCCTTCAATTCTTTAACCTATCGATCAATCTTTTTTATATAATCCTCCACACTCCACAATATATTTCAAATCCACCCCACCATTATATTCTTTCCAAATCAACTCAAAAATATATTCATTTGGCGTACGAGAATTGTAAAGATTTGGAGCTTGTGGTGGAAAGTTTTAGTTTAAGATTCCAAATTAAAAATTAAAATAAGTCAGTCTATTTTTTTTTTCGAAACTTAAATAAGGAAAAAAAAAAAAGGAAGAGTATTGAGTATTGGCATGATTGTGTTTGGTGGGCCCACTACTGGCCTGAGCTGTGGTTTGAGAATCTGTATTGCTTGCCGATGATATCGACAAGGCCAACAAGGTGCTTTTACTTTTGGTCCAACTGTCGTTTTACTTCCTCTAAAATCTAAATTCTTTTTGGTGCCTCTTTTTGATATATTTTTTTCTTTTTTAAAGATTTTTCACTTAATATTCGTTCAATCGCAATTTATATAGTTCTATTTCATACTAATATTATTTATTTATTAAAAGAAAAACAAAGATTAAGTATCAAAATAGTTAAAAATTTAAATACTAAAATAAATATTTTTAAAGTTCAAATATTAAAATGAAACAAATTTAAAAATTCTAAAAATAGAAACAAAATTAAGGTTTAAATCTTTTATAAATTTTGAGTCCATTAAGTTATTGTGATCTCCATAAAAATTGGAAATTAGAAAGTGAAATTCACACCCCTTATTTTTGTTTTTATTTTCTATTTTTTATTAGATAAATAACAATGTTTATTTTCTTGAGAAATATATTCACCATGGTATATAAATTTTGAAATTGATAAACTTTAATATTTTATATAATATTTTATTTATATTTTTAAATATTATATGATGTTGAGAATTTGTACTTAAGGTTAAAATATTATTTTGATTCATTCCTTTCAATTTAGTTCATTTAGTCCCTACTTTTGAAAATGTTTAGTTTGGTCTCTATATTTTTAAAACTGTTCATTCTAGTCTATTTACTTTCAAATTGTTTTTTGTACTTTTAAAAATGGATCAATTTTGTCCTTACATACAAAATTTTAACACAAAATTCTACACATGATAGAAACACTTTAATATAAAGTCATGGTTATATTTCAAGAAATAATGCTTAGTATAATGTCGTATTGAAATTGTGATAGAAAAAAATAAGATAAAAATGAAATTAAGGGATCATAGTCGTCACTTTTTCAAAATACAGATACTGAAATAAGTAAATTAAAAAATATACGGACAAAAATAAATTCAAAATAAAGTAGAAGAATTAAAATTATATTTTTAAAAATTTTGAATGATATGTAAAATAGGAATTTAAAAAGGGCTGCAGATAATGTAGTTGGTATTTTCTTGAATTCATTATAATTTATAATTTAATCATGTGAAAGTGGGATCAATTAATGTACCTCTTTTTAGTACATGATTAATGAAATGGGTCCATCAATTAATTATCACAGGTGGTTCTAAAAAAAATGCTATATGATAGAGAGAGGTTATAATTTCGAATTTCTCAATCTAGTAAAAGAAATCTAAAGGAAAAAAAAAATTGGAATATTGCGACGAGAAAGAGAAAAAAGTAAAAGGGCATACCTGGAATAAAATATTTGTAAAAAAATAAAACAATTTATTTATGGAAGAATTAATTTCCACGTAAAATTTTAGGAATTGTGTAGAAAAAGAGAATGGATTAGGATGAAGAGGAATGCGATGCGAGAGAGGCGGGCAGGAGTTGTCGAACTTGTTCCAGATATATCCTCCGTACGTCAATTCTTCAGTCCGATTTGATTTGATCCGATTGGACCCCCAATGTCCATTATTTTACTGTTTATGTGTATTATTGTAATGCAACAAGACAAACATTCTTATTCATCTTGTACGCGAAAAAAAAAAAAGTAAAAAAATTCTTATTCTTCCTTTGGCTTTGGGTTGCGTTTCAGTTTATTCTGAATAAAAAAAGAAATTTGTAAAAGATGAGGGGACTTGTGATGTGAAATAAATGGCAGTAGAGAGTAGAGAGAGAAGCGAACCTGGTGGGTGGTAGGACGGAGAGGAGTCCACCGGCGAAGAAGGAAGAAGACGATCGGCGATTGCGAATCCGGATCCGGATCCGGATCTGGATCTCGGATTCACACAATTGAAAATTGAAAGTTGAAAGTTGAAGGAAGAAATGGAATTGAATTAATAGGATAGTATAGTACATATTATAGGGAAGAGAAGGGTGGGATACTGCCGTCCCCGCTACCAGACAAACCTCCATAAGGCATAAAGGCTCAACTCTGGGAGCCACCGGCAGCCGGAGCAGGGCTCTTACACTTCCATCATGTTAACTTAAAATACTATTTTACCCCACTTTTTATTCATTTTAATGTCCAACCTTATTTATTCTAGTGCTTCTACTTTTTTTTAGTCCTATTAAATAAAAAAAACTATTTTATTAGATAATTAAAAAATGGCTATTTTAATTTCTATCGGTACAATTTTAATATAAATTCTACCTCTGACAAAAATCTTTTAATATAAAGTTAATTGTATTATGAGAGAAAAAATCGACCAACCATGTGTCAGACATCTGAGAAATGTACCGATCTAGCGCCATCAGGTCGGTTGAAGGAAGCAAATCAGTTCGACTTTGCCAACCTGTTATCGCCATCAACATGCATTAACAGCGGGATTGACTTAGCACAATCAGCGTCACTGACATACTAATCCTTACCGAGATTAAAGGCTAGAATCTCGGCCCTCTTACCAAACTAATCACCTGTAAAAGAATTAGGTAACTAGTCACTCTGGTATGTTTGAATTCCTTTTGAGGTATACAATATACTCTTAATCTCTACTACTGACTTAAGTATTGGAATGCTTACTTATGTTTTGCAAGACTCATATTGCAGAAAGGACAAGCCATTTTATTTAAACAGACTAAATTTGTGCACAAATAAACTGTAATGTTGTGTTAAAATTGTGATAGAAAAAATGAGATTAAAAATAAAATTAAAGGTGAAAAATTATTCCCCGACTAAAAGTAGTATTTTCAACCATTATTGTTATTTGATGATGTGGTTTGAATCAAATATAATTTAGATTATATTTTTTTTATTAGAGGATTTATTTCTTATTTAACTTATGATTTAGAATNAAAAGTAGATGGGCCACCACCATTTATTTTATACATTGATTCTGCAGTGGAGCTGCCTCTCACGTTTCTCCCCTCCGACACTTTCGAAATTTCACAGAATGGGAAAAAGGTACAGAGTCACAGACTACAGAAACGCACATTGTCCACATGCCACGGATCCCAAAGCCACTTTTGGAATTACACTCCTTCATTTTCATTTATCAGTCGGCAATAATTGTCATGTATTAATTCTTTTGAAATTAAATACAATAACGGGTTAAAATACTCATTCTTATGATTACCTCCAAATAAATAAATAAAAGTTTAAAAACTGATAATGATAAAATGAGTTATTATCTCTTTTTAGTACCGATAAGTAAATTTTAAAATGATATTTTTTTATAAGATTGTTAATGATATATTAAAATTTTTAATGAAACTAATAGATTGTGAGTTCAATCCCCACCTCCACATTGTACTAAACAAAATTTAATGCATCTACCTTTTATATCAACGAATAATTTCATAGGTAGATATTAGTCTTAAAATTTTATTGGTGAACAATGGGTATTGCATTAAATTAAAATATATGGAACATTTTCATATTCACCAATCAAAAATGTGTTTTATGACAGCAAAATTTATTTTAAAAACTTAAATTCATGTATAAAAAATAAAATTAAAACTTAAAAAAGAAAGAAAGAAAAAAGGAAACGAATTTTAAAAGCAACCCAAACATGATGCGTTAAATTACAAATTATGCTTTGAGTTATTTTTTCCGCTCCTCCTGATCCTGAAAGTGACAGGTAATTATTTGGTGACATGTGTGGCAAGCATTATTGGCTTTATGTTACATTATTATTGCTTTTTTGTTTTGGAATTCTTCCTTAAACTATGTTTGAAGCTAATAAATCTAACCTCATCGCTTCTTTGTTTGAAGCTTATTTAAAAACTATTTAATAAAATATGACTTCATTGTTATTCCTTCTCACTTTTCTTTATTTCTTCTCACATGTCTTGTTTCTTAATTAAGAAAATGATGGTAGAAGAGATATAAGTCATATCATCTTTAAAATATTATTATATTATTTTGTCACGTCAACATGAAACTAATTTAAAGATGCCACCTTATTTTTCATTTTTTGGTGTAAAGTCATATAGATAACAAATACAAAAGGTCAAAATAAAACCGTTAGAAAATAGGTTAAATCGTACAGGACCGAATGATACTTTTACTTAAATATAATAACCATAAATTGTTTATCTCAAACAAAAAGAAGTTAAAGTGCTTTTAAAATATTGAAAATACCATTTGACCATCAATCAAAAAGTAAAATACAGTACAAAGTGCGAAAAGCTTTTTTTTTTTTTTTACCATTGATCTAAAAGTTGTATAAAATGATAAAATATTCTGAATGCTTTTGAAAAATTCGAAAAACACAGTGAGTGTGGCGAGTGCTTTAGTTATTATAAAAATACACATTAAAAAAATAGTAAGCATTTTTTACTAATACAACTGAGAAAATCCGGAACAGAGTACCTGAGTTAAATTTATAACTAATTTAATTTCAAAAGATCTTACATTATACATATTTTGACATATATTTTTAACTAAGAAGTCGTGAATTCAATCTAACATCCAATATATTGTATTAAAAAAAATATATGGACCCTACCTTTTTATTTATTTATTTTTTATTATTATTATTTAAGAAGTCCACTTTACTAGGAGTTGTGCGGCCCCTCCTCCCAAAGTATTGGCATGTGCCCCGTCGCAATCATTTTTAAAGCACGTGCCATTTTAAATTACAAAACTGCCACCGACGATGAATCCTTTGTATTTATTAAAATTAGCTGTGCTTGTGCTTCAAAAAAAAAAAATTATATATATATTAGTTTTTAATAATTATTTTATACTGCAACTACAAAATAGATATTACAATATACGGTTACTTTACTAACTAATCTGTTTAGTTAAATGGTTAGTTATTTAATTCTCTTGGTGTCACATTGTTGGAGTGACATTTGTACATATATATTGATCTGTATTCTTTTGTAAGTTAATGAGAACAAATTTTTTACGTAACAATATAAAATAATAGTCAAATTAATCCCAGGTAGCTTTTTAAGTTTAAATTAACTATAAAAATATATTAAAAATTTCTCCCTTCAATTCCACAACTAGTAAAATAATTAGAATTCTTCTTCAAAGGGATCCAACTAAGATAGATCCAACTGATTAGGTTAAGAATTAAATGAAAATTTTAATATACATATAACTAATGTGTGTATTAGTGCTTGTTTGAAATCATTGGAAAAACGAGCGTTATATA